AGGTGCTCTGCAGCATCTGAGAGGCTCAGGGAGGGAAAGAGGCATATTTTCATGCCTGCTTTTTGCTTCCGGAGCCCACCTGCACTCTTCCTTGTCAATTCCACTAACAGCTGATTGGCGAGGAGTGAAATTGACAAGAAAATCTGCAGGGGCTACCAGAGGGAAAGAAGGCATTTTAACATGCCTCCCTCCTTTCCCTCTGGTGGGGTATATTATACCCGAATATTTTCAGCAATACCAAATATTTCCCCAATCCGAATACTTTACTGCTATTGGACTAGGGAAATATGGCATTTACGAATATTTTTTGGGTCTGATTTACCCGAAGTAAAAAAATACTGGCTTTTTTTTTTTTTTTTTGCATACCGCTAGAGCCAATGCTACATGCTCAGAATTAGTCTGGTAATTAAAGTTCTGTATTGAATATATGTATTTGGAGGGGTGGTTCGCAGGGTGTACAGTAGTCATACGGCTCTTTTGGTTGAATTTAAGAAAAAAGTTAAAGGCACCGAGAACAGTTTACATGCTCGTTTTTAGATGTAAAATTTCCAAACATTTTGAAGCTCGGAAACCCCCCCGTTTCCCCCCAGAAAAAAAACAGAAATTTTCAAAAAAAATTGAATAAATGCTACATTAGCACTTCTTCTTTCTTTTCCAGCTTGAAAGTCATTCTGTTGCCTTAGGAACATAAAATATGACTATGGACATTTTTACTTGGCATGAAATTATCACACCTAGCATATTAAGAATATAGTGTATCCAAACAATTATTACAAACAGAATACCCACCCACATGTAAAAACAAAACTGAAACCTTTTTCTTTTCTTGTGACAATAGCACCTCCTAAAGGAAGAAATGAATCTTGTTCTTCCATTGGAGAGTTCAGTTTGTAACCTAGGACTTACTTGTCCTCAGAAATTAGATCAGTCTGATACCATACGTATTTTTTAGAAATGATTTGGAAAATATTTGAACACCTTGTCTTAAAATATTTTATTCATCATGTTAAAATAAAACATTCCATAATTTTTTTTTTCTTTTTTCAATTTTTCGGAAAAAAACAAAAACGGCTTCAGGAAAAAAACGGAAAAAACCCCATTCCCCCCCCCCCTAATTTTTCCGGGTTATTTCCAGGCCTTCACATCTCTATTCATTTTAGAACACCCAAAGAGCTGTTCATGATATACTACAAATATAGTTGTCTACTCAGTGAGATTTAACTCTTTTCTGTGGAGGTCGCTAGGCACCTGTTTCAGTGTCACTCTGTAGCATCACTTATTACTTGCTGGTTCTGTGCCAAGTTTGTGCCAATGCTGTCCCTTTCACCTTGTGAGAGAAGATATAGCAATAAAAATTTTAGCCTTAATTTTGATTTTATCTGTACAGTCATAACTTGGCTTCTTATTTGGATTGTTATGTGCAGTTGTGGTCCCCCCAACCTGTTTATAAAACAGTAAAATATAATATACTGTCTCATGTAATTTCTAGGGATAATCACCTTAAAAATATTACAACTTTGAAACTGCCACATTTGCCTAATACTGTATAGGTAATGGTATCTGTTCATTGTTAATTTTATGAAACTATGAAATGAAAACATTTCTGTGGAAATAAAGCACTGGAAATTTTACATTCCATGGAAAACTTATACCCTACTTCTCTGAGTACCTCTCACCTCCATAATATTCTGGGTTAGAAGTATATGTAGTTGGTTATTGAATAGTTGGATATTTTTGAGGGGTCAGGCTGGGCAGGAGTCCATCAGCAGCTGCCCTTCTATTAATGACAAGGATTGTGTATTCTTACCATGCAAGATAGACACTTGGGCTCCCCTTTAGTCCACTGCTGCAGTGGGCTTTAGTTGGGCCGCTTGGATTGCTGCCTGGATGGCAGGTCAGATGAACTGGGACTCTAGTAGACTAATCAGCAGCAATAAATTCAGTTTAAAAGAGTGACATCAAATTCTGCTTGGAACAAAGAGGTGTTCACATGCTGTTGGAAGGTCAGAAATAGATATAAATGGACTCTAGTTCTGTTGCTGGTGTCAACTCTGGTTCTGAATAAGGTAACTTTATGTGTTTCAGTTAGCAGACTGGAAGAGAGGGAAGCAGAACTGAAGAAGGAATACAATGCTCTTCATTCAAGACATACAGAGGTAGGTAATGAAGTCTTGTAGGCAGTTGTGCTCAAGGGCAGTTTGCTGCCTTCATCTGTATCAGGTTTTTTTTGGGGGGGGGGTGTCTGGGTTTTTGTAAGTCTGTTGCACTTTGTTCAAGTCATTGTTAATGGATGTATTTGGGGTAGAACAAGATTTTATAATGATCCTATTCCTTCATTTGCCCAGGTCATGAGAATTCAGTGATGGGAAAGATGACTTGCAAGGCCAGAGTGAGAAGCGCTTAATTTCTCCCACACCATGTGGATGTCCATCTGGTACTTGCCTTGTTACTCAAGGAAACTTTGAATCTTTTGGTGGGAGCACTTCCAATGGAGAAATGAGTGGAAGGATTTATTCTCACTCAGCTGATTCTCTCCATAAATAATACCCTCCCCAGTTTAGCATCTCAAATGAGCATTGTGCTGGGTTTTGTTTCATCTGGAATATCTAATAGTGACTGTTAAAAGTGTGACAAAGGCAATGCCTCTTTGTGGCTCTTATTGGATTTATCTGAAGCCTTTGATTGTCTGCTTGTCAGTTCCCGGCAGTGTTCCCTCTAAGCTGAGTTAGTGTGAGCTAGCTCACAGTTGTTTAGCCTCTGGCTCACACATTTTTGTCTTAGCTCAGGAAGCTTGAGAACAAATTATTTTATGCAGTAGCGAAATCGCCTGCTCACAACTTTAATGCCAGTAGCTCACAAAGCAGAATTTTTGCTCACAAGACTCTGCAGCTTAGAGGGAGCATTGGTTACCGGTTCAAGGTATTAGCTATCACATACAAAGCCCTTCATGGCCTTGAACCCTCATACTTGCAGGAATGCCTCTGCCTC